TACCCAAGATTTCCGTGGAAAACCTGAATGTACCTGCTCAACTGCCTTATTGATTCAATCCAAATATTGGTTCCGTAGAGTAGTTGAGGGCCTATTTTCAGGTTGAAGATTTTTAGCGTAGCTGGAACATATTAGTTCCCTCTTCCAGAAAAATAAAAACGCAGACGTGCGTTAACATTTGCTTTATGTTACTCTATGTTGTTGGGTCCATGATGCAGTGGCTTGAAAATGCAAACCTAAGTACTTTAAGTGTTTTACTTGTTCAAGCTCGTAATTGCTCACCTTCCAGGTAAATTGCTTCCTAGATTTGGAGAAGACTAGCACTTTGGATTTTCCGTAGCTTAATTCTAATTGGTTGATTTTGCAGTACTCTTGGAAGCAATTCAATAAGTGGAGCAAACCCACTCGGGAGCATGACAATAAAACCACATTGTCCGCATAAAGCAAAACTGGGACATTAGCAGAACCCAGTTTGGGACTATGCCCATCCACTTGGGTTAAAAAGGGGGCAAGGTCACTTAGGAAAAAGTTGAAAAGCAGGAGTGCAATAACGTAACACTGTTTGACACCTTTGCTGGTAGACATTTTGGGGGTTAAATCTCTCTGAAGCAGAGTATCTGATTTGACATGAGATGGACATATGAAGTCTGCTAATTAAAAAAAGGAGTCTCTTGTCCAGGGAAGTATTAGCCATTTTCTCCCAGAGGCGATTCCTGGGGATAGAATCAAAAGCCCTTTTAAGGTCCAGAAATGCCACATATAATTTGGATCTTCTGCACCTTGTATACTTATTAACTAAGTGAGAAAAAACCAAACAGTGGTCCAAATTTGATTTCCCCTGCCTAAAGCCGATTTGCTCTGGGCCGATAAATTTCTGAGCTGTTAACCAGTTGTAGAGTTTGTTTCGTAATAATTTAGCGTAAATTTGCAAATGACAGAAAGGAGGCTGATAGGTCTAAAATTTGCAGGGTTTGACTGGTCACCCTTCTTAAAAACCGGGACTATAATTGCATTAGTCCATATTGTGGGCATATGCCCTGTTAAGTTTACAATGGTAAAAAAAGTGGCCAGAGGTGTTGCCCACCATTCAGGAACAGCTCTAAAAGCACTCTAAACAGCCAAGGCAGAGCCTTCTGCAGCCTCATGTTTTAGAAGTTCACATGTCTATCACTGCTGTCAACCAGTCATAATCTACCACACAGTGATTTATATACTGTACTAGGAGCAAAGCCTGTTGTATAAAAGCAATACAACGAGCTCTAGAAAGAGGGGCCCTCAGCAGGCGTACAGAGCCACCTCCGCCTCCAGGTGGTCTCGGCCTCCTTCGAGCGAGCCACGGCAGAGGTGAGTGGTGTTACCCAGCATGTACTCTGGCGCTCCACTGTCATTCAGAGTGCCGCTGCTGCCTCTTGCTCTCTTGCCGCACGTTCTTGGGTGTGCATCGGTGGCCGCCAGGCTTCTGCTGCTTGGGCCAGGCTGCGCGCTTGGAGCCTTTGTCTCTCCAGGACAAGCAGGGTTGGCTCCCGCCCACCTTGGACAGACCACGCCAAGGCCAGGTGAGGGAAAGCAGGGTGCTGCTGCCGCCAGCACCGGCGCAAGGCGGTCTCGGCCTCCTCCAAGCACGCTGTGGAAAAGAGGCGAGCGGTATTACCCAGCAGGTATTCTGGCACTCCTCTGTCATTGAGAGCCCCACTGTCACCTCTCGCTGTCCGGCTGCAAATTCCGGTGGGTGCGTTGGTGGCCGCCGGGATTCTGCTGCTCTGGCGAGGCCTGCTTGGGCTGGCCTGTGCACTCGGAGGCTTTGTCTTTCCGGGCCAATCGGGGTCGGCTCCCACCCGCTGCCTTGGAGACCACGCCAGGGCCAGATGTGGGGAAAGCAGGGCGCTTCTGCTGCTGGTGCTGCTGCCTCCAGGGGGTCTCAGCCTCCTTTGTGCCCGGCCTGCTCTTTCTCAATGAACGGAGGTGGCCGCTGACTGGCAGGCAGCCCCGGAGCCTCTCCAAGGTGCTCGGCCGCCTCAGTGAGGGAAGAGGGGGAGCGTCTCCAGCCACCATGCCCACGTGCCTGGCAACCCCTTGGCATCTCCTACCGGGGCTTTCCGTAAATCTTGCCTGCAGTTCGTGCTCTGCCCACAGTGGTGCGTGTAGCTCCAATGGCACTTTAGGCACCAACTCCTTCCCGCTCCTCCTCCCACCGTCTGGCTTCCCAGGAGCCGCAACTCCTTTCCTCTTGGCCAGACCCTCCCCACTGCTGCTGAAGGAAGGTGGGGGGGAGCCTTTGAAAGGCGGCAGCCAGCTTTCTCTGTGGGGCCGCCTGATGAGCTCTCTCCCTGAGGAAGTGCCGGCCTTGCAGCCGAGGGAGAGTGGCTGCGAGGGGCAGTAAAGTGCTTCCCGTGCTTGCCGCCACTTCCTAGTTCTGCCTAGAAAGAAAACCAAAGGAACTCCTGAGGACGAAGTGCGGAGGAGAAAAGGGAATCCCCGTCGCTCATAATCAGTGGGGTGCTCTCCTATACCACACCAGGCTGCCTCCTAAGCCTCCGTCCAGCGGAGTGTCCATCCCCTTCGCCAGCTCCCTCCAGACTGAGGCCAAGACACTGGCCGTCGGCTCTGTGGGTGGGACTGAGGCAACGCAGTGAGGCAATGCAGCCAGGGGATTGGCAGACCTTCCAAGTGGCAGTTGAGCAAGCCAAATGCTGTGGGAGCATGTGGAACATTCACCCAAAAACAGCATTATATATAAGGAGAGATTATATACCGGACACGTTTCGTTAAGTCCATGAGACACTTCTGAAAAATCTAAACACTTGCTATATACTTTACATGTTGTCTTATGGTTCTCATTATATCTGTTTTCATTGTACTTTTGTTACTGATTGTCTGCTGCCTCCTGCAAATTATTGGTAAAAGGTGTCACAAGATCCTATCTTAGACCAGTTCCTTATTATATTGTCCCCACAACTAAATCCTGATGCAAGTTTTCACTTTAAATCCCTGCTTAGGATGTTTTGACACAGTAAGCCTGAGAATTTGCTTTTAGGTTATTGTGTAAAACAGCAAACATGCATTTTTTTCACTGTTCCAGCTTCAGCCTTGTGAAAGATAACTTAGAATCAATGGTTTTATGTCCAGAATAAATGCCATAACAAATGGAACAAAGTTTGTAACAATTATTCTTTGGGATGCTCAGAGGTATCTAATATCACATCTTTAGAGAAAATGAATTAGGTGGTTAAAGAAAATAATGTGAGAGGCTGATGCAATTGTGTCTATATAAGATAGCAACAACCTAAAACCCTAGGATCTCGCAAATCTGGGTTGTGGTAACATTGTCGTATAATTTCTGAAAAGGCTTGGTAAGAATGTTAGAGATTGCATTTTATCTTTAAATGCACGATAAGTAGGAGAAGAGATTACATGTATACTTATTTATAATTTCATTTACATATATTATTATTATCATTATAATTACTACTGCTACTACTACGACTACTACTACTACTACTTGTGGATCGGCCAGCCGCTGCTGTTGCAGGCTCTGGGTGATACACAATCACAATAAAACATCAAACATAAAATAACATCAAACAATAAAACATCAAAAATACAATAAGATGTGCTAGTGTTTTCTGTACAATTCAGGTTTATTTAATCTGCTCAAGAGTAACTAGAGTGATTTTAAATAAAATCCTTAAAAGACAACACTGAATTATTGTGACTGGGTTACAAGGTTTTCACCAGCACCAGGTATCTGCCCTGAATGACTAGTGGAAAGACTGATAGTTTTTCACACATTTTTTTCGTTTAGTGGTTAATGGACAGCTTTAAAACAGTCCAAGAGTCTTCTGGTTTCCATTTACTACTTTAAGTACTGCCCTCCCAAGGGTGGGGGTAACAATTCAGCCTCTTGTACTGTGCCTCTTGCTTATTGCTTTTGCCTCAGCTACTACTATTCCTTACCAGATGTATATTTCACTCATTCTGTCACTCCTTTAAACAAGTTCTAGTGAGAAATCTTATCAAGAGCTTTTTGGAAGTCCACATAAATCAAGTATGCTTCACTCCCTTTACTGCATGGCTTTAGTAACCTTTTATGCAAGACAGTAAAGGCACTTCCACTGAAACTGTGCTTTCTTATACATGGCTCTAATTGGAAAAGCATCAGATTCACGAAGAGAATTGCTAGATTCCCCCCCTCCTTCCTTTGTTTCTAATCAGAAATTAATTTAAGAAACTCTTCATAATAACCATGCCATTTACACTCTCATTCATCATATTAGAAGAAAGCACAATGACAGGAAACAAATGCTGCGGGCACTTCAGCACTGTTTTACCACCACCTGTGTCAATTTCAACTACATCACAGAGAGATTCTGCATTAAGCTACACAATAATGAAAGCACTGTGTCATCTTTGCAGTCTCTAAAAACACAGCCTCTTTGTCAATATACAGCTGCTATTACTGTTTCGTTTCTGACAGGAAAGATGCCGGGGCTGAAGCCATCCTAGATTATATTTGCTCTGCTTTAAAAACCTCTTCCTTAATGCCAGGTGAGCAGGAGCCAACTGTGTTGAAGAAAAGGCCTGTTGCACATGTGCAAATCTTCTCTTGAGCTTTCTTTAAAACCACAGTTTTACACCCAGAATAAAGTGACACAGAAGCATTTGTATAGTCGAATTCCAACCCAATGCAGCATAACAATCCAAATGAAGCTGGGCTTCCACAGAATGAAACATCTTTCAGTTTTTCTATCCCAGCTTTCTACTACCCTCCCCTCCCCCCTGCCGCAGCTATTTGACACAGCCAAAAGAGTATTGCTCAGTACCTCTAGGAAAGCAGGTGTTTGGAAATGGATATTCAGTCGCATGTGGCCTTTCATTTCTAATCTATGAATCATCCACAAAGTGCTGAAGAGGTTCAGGAAGTGACTACAACTTTGGAAGCTTCTGTGAGGCATGTCTGCAAAACCTTTAGAACATGAGGTAATTTTCGGTCAGCAACTTACCACATGGCATGCATATAAGTTGGAGGTAGACGAGGGCTGCTGACAGGTGTGCAGTTGTAAGACCGCATGATCCTTTCTGCCAATAAGAAGTTACGAAAGAGGCTTGCCACAAGTAGGTCCTGCCGGAAGAGTTTTTGGAAAAGATCTGCCAAAAAAAGACACAAGTGGGATGGCTTGTATAAAGAGAAGTGATAAAAACCATGATAAAATGAGAGATCTGAATATGTGAATGTTCTCTGGCAAGCAGGGCTGCTGAGAAGGGAGGAATAAGGGAGTCAATCATCCAGGGGGCTCAAAGAGCCAAGCAAATCATGAAATTTGTTTTCCCTATGATGCTTGGGATGGGTCTTGGTAGTGGTGAACAGGTAGAGGGAATCTTTGTCTTGGGGCCCATAGTGATGTTGGCCAGCCGAGCTGGCAAAAGTTATTACTGCAATAGTTATATCCACCACTAACAATAGCTAAAGTTTTCAGCTGAGTCTTTAAACCTAGGCATCAGTACTACACTTTGGCATGGTTTCTGTTACAGATATTAATAAAACTCTCTAATCAGCTCAGTTTGAATGCCACTGCTTCCTCCTGTCATGTGATAGCTCCTCTAATTCTAAGGCTTGGGCATCAAAGCTTCATCAGCAAATACCAGTGGAGACCATAGTTCCCTCTGAACTACGCTAGGGAGTGCTGGTGCACAAAATTGTAACAGGCAGCACAGGGATTACTGCTTTCAGCCCACAAGGCATTTTCCCCTCCATTGGAAACAATGGAGGATTGGGGGTATCTCCTTTTGGGGTCCACATAATTGGATCCCCTGGTCAATTCATTTTGAAACTGGGGGGGGGGGGTTGTTGAGGGGAGGCACCAGCAGCTGTGCTGCAAATCTGGTGCCTGTACCTCAAAAAAACAACCCCAGATACCCCCAGATTGATTCTCCATTATAGCCTATGGGGCCAATTGACTATAATGGTCCCCATAGGCTACAATGGAGCTGGAAAAAAATGACCTTTTTTGCACACCCCTATTATGCTTTTCAGTATGATCTGTAAGCTGCCTTGAGTCACAGGTAAAAGTGGGATATATATATTTGAATAAATAAGTAGTTTAGCAGGGTGATAATAACATTTAAGCAACTTCCTGTTTGTTAGGTTAGGCAGGGTTCTGACAGTGATTGTTTCTCCTCTGTTATACTTGACCTGTAATGCTGGTTGTTATAGTTCACTAAAAATACAAAGTAGACTGCAAGAGTCCCCCCTCCTAAGGCTCAGCAGAGGGTGATGGCCTGAGGTCAGGTCTATCAATATAATGGACTGGGATGGGTAGACCTGTTCTCCAGAGGCCAGGTCTACCAATATAGTGGAAAGGGGTGGGTAGCCCTGTTCTCTGGAGGCCAGGTCTACCAATATAGTGGAAAGGGGTGGGTAGACCTGTTCTTCAAAGGACAGGTCTACCAATATAGTGGACTGGGATTGGTAGACTTGTTCTCCAGAGGACAGGTCTACTAATATAGTGGAAAGGGGTGGGTGAAATTTGACTTGATTCTGTTTTCTCTTATAATGTTTAAATTATTCTTAAAATATAGTTTTAATGTAATTTAAATAATTTATTCTGAGATAATACAAGGGTATGGAAGTAATCTTCTAAAAAACTAATTTACATGATAGTCAAATTTGGACTCGCTCACAATTTTAATGCTACTAGCTTTTTTAGCTCATGAGGTAGAATTTCTGCTCACAACACAGTGGGGCTTAGAGGGAACATTGGAGACCAAAGTATGCAAATGCCAGAGGCACTGGATATCATAGAGAAGTTAGGTGTGGGGAGACCCTATTTTCTCTGTTCAAAATATTTATTTTTTCTTTTGGGATTCTTATTACTTCCTATTTTTTTTCTCTGTTTTTTTTTTAGTTTCAAACTCCTGCCCCCTTTATTGTTGTCAACCTATACATAGCTAGTAATTCTGTGGCTTAGCTGCCAAAGTCTTACCTCTGGGTAGGACGTTCCATGCAATTGTGTCTGTGATGGCTGTAAAGATCCAATTCAGTTCTCCCAGAGGCGTTCTCCTGTCATTTAGCCTTCCAGGAATTCTATTAAAAAATGATTTTTTATTGTTAAACAGGCATATGCCACATTTATAGCAATGGACATAAAACTACCATTTCCATTTTAGAACAGCAACCATGGTATCTGTATGTTCCAAATGTACAATGTGCATTATCTTGACTTAACTGACCAATAAGAATTTCCTCTCACATGGCAGTTCATCCCGTGTACAGTTCCCATTTTCCCAGACTACAGCTTCTGCCATCTCAACTATTCAGTGGATTCCAAATGCTCAAATTATGAACACCATTGAGGAAATAAAAATGCTAGATAACAAAGGTTCTTGCATGGTTCAGAATAAATGGTAATAAAGCAACTGGGGAATACTTTTACAATCTGCTTTTCTAATTATTCAGTAAGGACGACCTGAACATTAAATCATTGAATGAATTGTATAAGCAATCTTTTTTGAGAAAAGGCAACTAGGAGAGTAATGGAAAATCTAAGCAAACATAGTGTTACGGGACATTACTTCTGTATTCACTCTACTTCCCATAAAGCAAACATTCTATGAGTCTGACATCACAATATAAAAAAATGGAATAAAGTAACAATTATATTACAAAGTTTCTGAACAGCAATGGCACCACAGAATAAAGATCCACCAACATTTTTAACTTGCCCTTCCTCTAGTAAATGCAGGGTCCATGAGTCTTCCCTTCCCTCTAGTAAAAGGCTAAATGCTGCCTCTTCCTGCAGTATTGCCAACAGGAGGCAGCAAGAGGAGCACCAACACCCAGGGCCGGCTCCAGGGTTTTTTGCACACTAGGCGAGGCTAACTTCTTGCGCCCCCCCCCCCCCTCCCCTCCCCAAATCCTAGCCTCCCTGGGCTCCACCCCTCCCCAAAAAACAAGGACATTCCAACCCGGATCTGGTAACCAGTGTTCCCTCTAAGCTGAGCTAGTGTGAGCTAGTTCGCAGTTTTTTAGCCTCCGGCTCACTCATTTTTTTCTTCGCTCAGGAAGGGTGGCTCCAGAGCAAGCTAATTTATGCAGCAGCCAAATCGCTCGCTCACAACTTCAATGCCAGCCACTCACAGAGTAGAACAAGACTCCACAGCTTAGAGGGAGCATTGGAACCCTGAGATAAATGGGACCTGGGCCTCCCAGGGCTTTTGCCAGGGAAAACACAACACCAAGTGCCAAAGGTTTTGCAGAGGAGAGGGAAAAAAATGGCAAAAGAAATGAATGGTAGTTGTTCAAACCCCCTTCCCTTCCCCCCCCAGATCCTGTCCCCTCTCAGGACCCCCCCCCTCTATTTATTCCACGCCCTCCCTCCCTTTACTCCAGCTGCCCTGTCCCCCCCCCATTGAAAGGACATCAAACAAATCTCCTGCGGGCTGGGGGGGGGACTTCCCACAGGGCGACTACGGCAAAGGATGGGAAGCGGGACCCGCGGTTGCCAGGGGGCGGCTGCTGCTGCTGCTATGCTGCAGGGGCCGAGACTGGCACACTTTCTCTTTCCGCCCTGCTCCTCCGGCTGCCCGCCTCAGAGAGACGGATGGGAAGGGGAAGCTGGCGGGTCACTGGCCCTTAGGCAGGCAGGTGGGCGGGCAGGCAGGCTGGCTGTGGCTCCTCGCCTCCCCGCCCGCCTTTCCCAGAGCTACCTGAAGAGGAGGAGTGGCAGGCGTTTAACTCGCGGGATTTCCTGCTTTGGGGCAGTGATTGGCCTGGCGGCACGGCTGCAGCAGCCCCGAGGATTGGCACCCTCCCTGCCTCCCTCGCCAGGGGCCCCGCCGGGCCGGGCAGCGCTCCCCTTGGCCCCCTTCCCCCGAATCCGCCCACTGCCAGTCTCCAACCTTCTTGCCCCAGCCGGGCTGCTGGCGACAAGAGGCTGCCCACCCGCGGGAATCTGGCACAAACTGCAGGAGCAGGAGGGAGGGGGTGCGCAAGGCACGGGAAGGGGTGCGCTGTGGAGCAGGGGCACTCAGAAAGCCATGCTGGGGGCAGCAGGGGACTCGCTGCGCCCCTGGGAGATCTGCGCCCTAGGCCGTTGCCCTAGTTCGCCTAGTGATAGAGCTGGCCCTGCCAACACCCATTGTTGGCTCTACTGGCCAGGTTTGAGTTGGGTGGTCCCTGCAGTGCTGGTATAGCTACTTGAGCTTGGCTCAGCTTGCTTCTGGCTGCCAGCAGCCCAAGGCAGTGGTCCATAAAGAACCTTCCCTGTAAGTGAAATAGCCATCTCTCTCTCTCTCTCTCTCTCTCTCTCTCTCTCTCTCTCACACACACACACACACACACACACACACACACACACACACCCCACTTTCTATCTCTCATGTTCAGTTACTGGATAAAGCTAGTATTTAAATAAATTGAATTTCTAATTATATCAACAGGTGGCATCTTCATAACCACAGGATTCCAAACTGGAAGGTATCAGCATGCTTAGAAAACACTAATGAAGCTGGAACATCCATTTCTTCCCTAATGTGTAAAACTTCTAAATACATATAACCCACAGGGATTCTCTGCAAAGGAGACACTGTGTTCATTAAGAATATTAGATTCATTAGGCAAGAACATTTTTTCCTGCAATCCTCCTGCAATCCTCATATGCAAAACAACTCCCTCAAAAGGTTCTCCTTATAATTTCAAAGGTAACAACCTTATAAGATGCTCTTTCTCACCAAGAAACCCTGAAATGCCAAAAAACATGTTAGAGTTCTAAAGTTGGTGCCTAAACCCAACTAAAAAAGTCAGACAGGATTAGCAAATGTTATTGCCCAAATATTGATTTAGGATTAGCTTTCAGAACCAAGATGTTTTAGGGAAGCTGAATTTATTTTTACCAGGAATTTCAGTGTCTAAGAGCTGGGTGCTGAAAATTATGGGCAATATGGAACATTTTACTATTCATTTTTGTGCTGTTTTTAGTAAAGTAGTTTTAGTTGTGTTTTATATAAGTTTATTGGTAGAACAAGTGTAAGCCACCCTGAATGCATGCTCTGAAAGGTGGGCTACTAAATTTTAAAACAAATTACTATACTAACAACTGATTTTAACTGCAATGCTTGTTCCAGTGCAGGGAGAAGAATTAATCAACTGATAATGTTGTTGGTAGAATTACTCTTGTTTGCATATATAACACAGCTCAGTTGGAAGAGGAGGAAGTGCAGTCAAGCAGAGAGCCCTTCCAAAGCCTCCTTCCCAATGAACCACACAACTGTGGAACTTCCCTCACCCCTACTCCAAATTTCCATGATATTTCACAGTTCTCTATTTGCTTGTTTCATTGACACTAATCAATTCTGAGCATGGCGGCTTCCCAAGTAACAATCTCTAGCCTACACTGTTCACATCCCTGGAGGCTTGACAGAAATTGCACTAGCACAGATTCACAAGGTTGAGCATGTGGGGGTAAGAAATCAATTCAAATCTCTGCAAACACTGGAATGTTTACACAGTGACCCTCTCTCCAGTGAAGTAGAACTGACAGTAGCTCAAGGTAAGTTTAGCAGTTGATAAAGCAGCCAATGATTCTGCAATTAGTTTACTGGAGATCAGACAAGCCATATTGTGTGGTTCTGTAAATGCTTAATAGACCATGCATTCTCTGCAACTCACTTCTGCGTATCAAAGGCGAAAGGGATGAGGGGCCCTTCTATCGTGAAGAGAGGCTGTAGAACTTTATTCCATCCATCAAAAAGGCGGCAACAGTGGTGTTTTAAAAATATTTTTGGACCAACAGTAACGTCACTGCTTAAGTCTCCCACATAACTTATCTGGTAACATCCATCAAGTTCTCGGTAGATGGCAAATAACTAACAGCAGTCCATTTCTACTTGTAGAAAAAACTTTGATCAGTATTAGCAGTCTTCTTTCACTCACTGCCCCTGCAAAATGTTGTGCCTAGAGTAGGATTTTTGTGTGTGTCTGTATTGTGTGTGTGTGTCTTGTAGTCATAGCTGACTTCTGGCGACCCCTAGTGGGGCGTGGACTTTTCAGAGAGGTGGCTTACTATTGCGTGCCCCTGCGTCCCAGCCCTGGTATTCCTCGGAGGTCTCCCTTCAAAGTACTTGCCAGGGTCGGCCCTGCTTAGCTTCTGAGATCTGACAAGGTCGGGCTTGCCTGGGCTATTCAGGTCAGGGCGTGCCCAGAGTAGGATTGAGTTTTGCTGGGCAAAGCTACTGACTGGTTTTATAATCATCTAGAAGGCACTGGCAGGATGACAAGTTTAATACGATGGAACTTTTCTGAAATCACATAAATAAGATTTTTACAAATATTGAAATTTAAACATAGAGCTAAAGTAAGTGTCTGCTTATGTCCATGTGAAGAAATTCATTTTTTCTTTGGCAGTTTGAAATGAGCAAAACCTTCACTCTGAGTTTTAAAAGTTTTCCCCCTCTCTGGGCAGAGACCAGGCAGGAAGGGAGGAAGTCAGTTCAACTGCTTTCCAGACTTACCACAGCCCACCTTCATGCAAATGTTAATAGGTCTAGACAATGGGATGGTCAAGCTCCCCCCTTCCACCAGCAGGGAACAGAAATTTAGAATCACAGAATCATAGAGTTGGAAAGTACCTCCAGGGTCATCTAGTCCAACCCCCTGCTTAAGGCGGGAAATTCACAAACACCTGCAGTGACCGCTGTTCCACACCCAGATGATGACAAAAAAAACTTCAGGATCCCTGGTCAAATTGGCCTGAAGAAAAATTGCTTCCTGACCCCAAAGTGGCAATCAGCATTTCCCTGGGCATGTAAGAAAGGGCCACAAGAACTAAGCACTGAGGCAATCCTTCCTGCCCTCCCACTCATGGTCTGCCTAAATTCATAGAATCCTCATTACTGTCAGATGGCCATCTAGCCTCTGTTTGAAAACCTCCAAAGAAGGAGAGTCCACCACCTCCTGAGGAAGTCTGTTCCACTGAAGAACCACTCTGTCAGGAAGTCCTTCCTAATGTTTAGCCGAAGACATTTCTGATTTAATTTCAACTCGTTGGTTCTGGTCCAACATTCTGGGGCAACAGAAAACACACAAAA